TGTTTGTTTTTATTATTAGGACTCTTACGCGCGTAATCATTCCATATTTGGAATTCTCATTGCCTATTATGGTAGGATAAAAATACCCCGTGAAATACCGCAGAATGACGGCACGCTGTAACTTATTGCGTTACGGTGACAGATGTATAATAATGTGTATTATGCACTTTTATTATTACACATATTGGACATATGTGATTGAACTGATAATTAGACAAGAGGTATATTATATCTTAACTCATACTCTCGTATTTTTCTGCAGAAAATTTGTTGACAAATATTACAATGAATGTATCACTCAATCTCAGCTCTGGTGGGTTCGATCCAAGCTTCCCAAGTGGAAAAATTGTTCCGAGAGACGTTACTCTAACGATGTTCGTCTCATTTTTCATCTTGATTGTATGCGGCAATATCTGGGTAATGATCGCTGTTGTCCGCCAGCCTAAACTACGTAAATCGTCGACTTGTATGTTCATTATTTCACTCTCTGTATCCGACATGATGATGGCGTTTTTCTATATTCCGATGCAAGTGGCTTACGTGGGATTTGGTCTCACTGGAATGAAAAGCGTTGTGTTATGTAAGGGATCAGCCTGGCTACAATGGGTTGCTCAATGCGCCACGATATTTTCTTTAATCGGAATAGGAATCGACAGATACCGGGCAATAGTTCAACCACTTCATCCTAAGTTGACAAGAACAGATGCTGCAATGTGTATTGCTGTAATATGGGTATGTGCTGGGGCGTACTCCGGTCATCGTATGTACGTATTAGACATAGTTACATTTACATATCCCGTAGGTATCAATGTGACTGTATCTACATCAGTATGTGCAGTGCCATCTGATAAATATTACTTATTAAGTTATCTTGAAATAAGTGACTTTCTTGTGATGTATCTAGTTCCACTCGTAATCCTCTGTGTAATGTACGCCATAATGGTATCCAGCCTGTGGTTCAGCTCCGCTCCAAACGATGAATCAAAACAGAAGAAACGAAAAGCTGTAAAAATGCTGATTCTGGTCGTAGTGCTATTTTGCATCAGCTGGTTGCCATGGAGAGCTTTTTCTCTATACTTTCAAAT